TAGACTACTTGGAGTATTTGCGGATGAGTTTCGAGTCTTTTAGTTTATGTTTATCTCGCGTATTCGAAATGTCTGTACCGATGCTCTTGCTAAAGAGACACGAGCCCAGAGCTTATTTTTTTTCCATGTAAAACATAATAAACCGGTTTGGTTGACTCTTAAAGTCCACCACCAAAGTGGTATACTTTGATTTAGTTTATGGAATGAGACATCATCTCATATACTCTTATGAGAAGTGAATTGATCTCTATCACTCTCATATGATCCACAATGCTCTTCATAATGTAGAATGACCATTTTGCCATTAATGATTGACCATTGACCAAGATTGGAGTTGACCATCTCAAGTTGACCATTGACCATTCTTTGTCTCTCTCTCCCTCCCGACGAGAGACGGTCGACAACGATTGCCTCCACCTCCGTCGACCTCCGTTCGCTGCCGTTGCACCGCTGGAGCTTCATTAAGGTCCGAAATTGAGGTCCGCTTGGTTGCAATGAATCATTGGTGTTAAATTTTGGGAAATTTTTGGTTTTAGGAATTGGAAATTAAGAGAAATAATAGATTGAATTGGATTTCATGCACATTGGTGTTTAACGAATGTTTCTGGGTTGAATATTACTCTATATTGGCTACAAATGCAGTACAGTTGCTGATTCGTAGTGAATTGTAAGTTTTTGAAATCTCTAAACCGACTGGATCTGAGAAGAGTTCGATCTGAGAACTGGATCTTGGTCATGAGATGCGATAATAGTATAACTAGTAATACTAGAAATACCGAGAAATGATGTATAACTAGTAAAACTAGTACAACTGGGAAAAAAAAACAGTACTGAATGAGTTTTTTGGGATTTTATTGGCAGGTTAAAATGAGCAAGTATGTCACCATACATTATAAATGCGAAGGTCGCATCAATGGTCTAGTATTGAAGACATCAGTTGAGGAGATAACAATACCGATGATAGAAGCTAGGTTATACAAGAATCTTGGGTTAGATGAAAGTAAGATTAAATTGCAATTGAGTTACATTTCTAGATTGGCTGGATGTGAGGAAAAGTCGTATATTTGTGATGATGAGGATCTGTTGGTATATCTATCGCATGTTGATAATGAGAACCGTAGATGTGTTTTGATTGTGGAGTTGATGAGTACACCGGAACTGCCTGTGCAACAATCGAGAGCGGGGAGAAGCTCTTATGGTATGAATTATGAAGATTCGCAGCGCATTGATGATGAAAGCGGAGAAATAGGACCAATAGGACCGAATGCCATAACGTTGCATGTTGACAACAGAGAAAGAAATGAAGAAGAAGAAGAAGAAGAAGAAGAGGATGATGATTATGATTATGATGATGATGATGATGATGATGATGATGATGATGATGATGATGATGATGATAATGATGATGATGATGACGACGATGATGGTGGGGGTAACAGTGTGGAATCATCAGATAGACGTGATTATTATGTTGAGGCACCACCTGTTGTTGAATGCAGTCAGAGTTTAGAGCCATGGGAAGACGGTTTGGATTTGAGTATTGATCAAGAATTTCCTAGTAAGAATGCTGTTGTAGAAGTGATTCATAGAGGCGCATTTGTTAAATCTTTCGGGTATGTTATAAAAAATTCTGATACTCAGCGATGGGTGGTAAAATGCGCGCAACGAAGTTGTACGTGGCACGTACGAGCAGCAAAGATAGCAAAATCGGATGCTTTTTCGATTAGAACTTACAGGAATATACACACATGTAACTGTGCTAGCCAGAGTGAAGAAGGCAGCGTGAAGAGGAGAGGATCAGTACGACTAGTTGCAGCTATTGTGAGTGAGCATTATCCTGGGAAACTCGAGACTCCAACTCCTAGAGAAATCATGACACTTGTGAAGAGGAAAGTTGGTGTAGAGGTATCATACTCCACGGCTTTGAGAGGGAAGAATCAAGCTATTTCTGATATGCGTGGTACTCCGGAAGATAACTACAGGATATTGTATCGTTATTTGTACGTGTTAGAGGAGCTGAATGAGGGTACGAAAACAGCTGTGGAACTGGATATGGTGGGAAAATTCAAGTATTTATTCATAGCTTTGGGAGCTTCCATTGATGGGTTTCAGTTCATGAGGAAAGTGATTGTGGTGGATGCAACTTTTCTCAAGGCTGGATTTGGTGGTGTACTTGTTTTCGCCGCAGCTCAGGATCCAAATCGTCACATTTATCCCATAGCATTCGGTGTACTCGACGGCGAGAACAATGCTAGTTGGGGCTGGTTTTTTGAGAAGCTGAAAACTGTTGTAGACGATTCTTCGGAGTTGGTATTTGTGAGTGACAGAAATACCAGCCTCATCAACGCCGTAGCTAACGTCTATCGACAAGCTCATCATGGGTTTTGCTTATGGCATTTGGCTCAAAACGTGAAAGGTCATGCTCCAAGCGCAAGCAGAGCCGTTGTCGCCAAAAAATTCCAAGAGTGTGGTAAGGCTCATACGGTGGCTGAGTTCAATATGCTTTATGAGGCGTTTAAGCAGAGATTTCCTTCAGCGGCGAAGTATGTGGAGGAGACGACCGTGCCACAAAAGTGGGCAAGATGTGTTTCTCCGGTTGCTAGATACAACCTCGACACAAGCAACTCCGTGGAATCTCTAAACAAAACTTTTAGGGATGCGAGGAAGTACTCCTTAATACCCATGCTTGATACGATAGTTCGAACGTTTTCTGATTGGTTTAACCAGCATAGGAACGAGTCCGTGGCAGGAACGAGTGCTCAGAAACTGGTTCCTTTGGTTGAGAACTTCTTGCACGAAAATTGGCCTATAGCTGAGAAATTAGATGTAAGGGAGGTAAACGGTTGTGACCTTGAATACGAAGTCATGTCAGAAGAGGGAAAGTTTTATTTGGTGGACTTGGCCAATAAAACCTGCAGTTGCAGGTTCTTCGATATTCATAGGTATCCTTGTATCCACGCATTAGCCGCTTTCATCTCCTTTAAGAAAAATGGAAGGCGTGATATCCGCATAGAATATTATGACTTGTGTTCGAAATACTATTTCATGGAGATGTGGATATTGGCTTATAGCAGATCGATCTACGTGGTGCATGATATGTCTGCATGGATTGTACCGGATTACATCATGGAGAAGGAGATAATACCTCCGGATCGCGTCAAGAAAAAGGGTCGTCCAAAAGAAAAAAGATTTCCATCAACGGGAGAAAGGCGCCGAAGGGGAAGGACACAGAACAAACTCAAGCGGGGAAGGACACTAGCAGGATTACTATATGGAGAAGACTTTGCATGATGTAAAAATTTTAACTTTTAAACTTTTGTTACGTGTAATTCGTTTTCGCTTTCGTTATGATTTATGTGTAATACTGGTATAACTATGCATAATTGGTGACTTTTCGAAGTAATTATGTATTGTTATTTAAAAACCAAAACTAATCACCTAAATTAGTTAATTTTGTTAGAACTACAACTTATATGTCATACAAACCTAATAATTAACAAAATACAAGTTCAAACTTATTGTTGCACCAGAGTTCTAATATTGATCTTTAACATTTCCTTATACTTTAAGAAACACTTTCTTATGGAGAACCAACTTGTTAAGTGAATGGTAAAAAATACTATATTCAAACTTATTGTTGCATAAGACAATGATATTCATATGTAAAACCATATAATTAAACTGTAATACTAGAAAATATAACTTTTAGATGATGGAATATAAGTTTTAGGTGGTATAATAATATTTCAAGATTCTGTATAACTGACAATCTGGTATTACTATGTGTATTTTCTCGGCGGAAAATTGATTTTTTTGGCGGGAAATTGAATTTTCTCGGCGGGAAATTGAATTTTTTTGCAGGAGAGTGTACTTTTCAAAACATTTCGATCTAATCTAAAATTCAGAGTTTCATTACAAACTCTCGAACCTCTCTCTGTCTCTTAAAATCGATATCTCTCTCTCTCTCTCTCTCTCTCTCTCTCTTAAAATCGATCTCTCTCTCTCTTAAAATCGATCTCTCATCTCTCTCTACAAATGGATTCGGATTGTAGCTATCACTACAAGGACAATTTCCTCATCGACCCATACGTGGAGGAGTTGAAGGAAGAGAAGAGGCGCTGCAAGGAAATGGAGAAGATGAAGCAGCATTGGGACATGGTTGGATTTGTCGCCGACGGCCAATATGGGATTCCGAGAAGATGCCCATGTGGTGGATTTATCAAGAACGATGTATCTCCTTCTCCAAAATTTAAACACGATTTCGATACTCAACCAGGCAGTAAGTACTTCACCTGCACCAAATTTAAGGTATAATCTCTATAAATTCAGATCTGGGTTTTTTTCTGAGTAAAACTAGTAAAATTAGGTTAAACTATTTAGATGTTCTTCGGGTGTAAAATTTGGAATACTAGGTATAACTATAATGGATGTTGCTCGTTTTTTTGTTTTTTTGCTAGGATGATGGACTCCACTTTCGTCAGCCATGGGTTTTCAGAGTCGAAGAAGAGATTGCGAAGCTAGTTAAGAAAGTTGAAGAGCAAAGCAAGACGATTGAAGAAATGTGAAAACAGATTCAGATCGAAGCCGAAGAGATAGCCAAGCTCAAGACTTAGCGAATCTGCAATTTCCTTTAATTGTTGTTTTAATTATTCTTTTAATTGTTGTTTTAATCGTTGTTCAAGACTAACGTTTCCATTTTGCTTGTATTTCCTTAAGTTATCAATGATATTTTAATTAGTATTACTAATGTTAGTATCACCTAGTATTACTAACTTTTCTTAGTATTTATTTTTCTAGCAACACTTACTACGACTAGTTTTACCTAATAATACAGGAATTCAACAATTCAAATTAAAAACATAGTTCATCCGAGATCGAAAATAAAAACATAGTACTAGTTCCAAATAAAAATAAAGTACTAATTTCAAATAAAAACAAAATACTAGTTCCAAATAAAAATTTTCTAGCAACATTTACTACGACTAGTTTTACCTAATAATACAGGAGTTCAATAATTCAAATTAAAAATATAGTTCATCCGAGATCGAAAATAAAAACAAAGTACTAATTCCAAATAAAAATAAAATAGTAGTTTCAAATAAAAACAAAGTACTAGTTCCAAATAAAAAAAAAGTACTAGTTCGAAATCAAAACAAAGTTCAACCAAATATAAAAACAAAGTAGACGATTTATCTTGTTCAAGAGCCTGAATCCTTTCTCCCTTTCACATAGTCTTCAAGTGGCTTTATCCTGTCATCAATTTTATGGACGATGTTGTTGAGCAAACCCAATTGCTCTGTCATGGTCTCCATCGCGCTAACGACATCCTCCAGAGACATTTTCTTAGCTCGGGGTTTTTTCCTTGCTATTTCCAAGTCCTCCACCATTTTTTCTCGCCCTTTCACATCTTCCTCCTTTATGTCTTCAAACACAACCGTCAATCCATTATCAATACGTTTTTCCCAACTTTCCACAACAGGATCGTGCTCATCAACATCGTCCTCCGTTTCCATTATCAAATCCAACACTGCATTCTCCTCCTCCGAAGCTATCAGCACACTGTCAATGTCCTGTCAAGTTAAACACATTTAAACAACCAATGTTAACAAGTTTCATTGTTTTTTTCAAATCTTCAATGACTACTAACCTTGTTCTCGCATCCGAGCTTTTGATACACAGTCTCAAGTGGCCAGCCTCTCAGGTCGCATTTCTTCCACTTGGACCTGCACATCCTCGGACAATCGACGCTACTATTTGGTACAGCTTCTCGGAAGCTCTGTCTCAATGGCATAATGGCCTCCATCGCCAAAAGCTACAAACATACGCATATAATTAGACTTATCTGCAATCGACAATCTTAAAATGAAAAGGAAAACAATGCAAAAGACAATCTTTTACCTCCAATGGAATGCAAAAACCAGGAAACGACCATGCACTGCCCAACCCCTTCTCAATAAAGTGCTTCATCGTATCCGAAATAGACTCTAAGATGCGATCAAAAGACAATCTCCCCCAAGGAAAATGTCTTACACTTATCCAAATCATCAGCGTATTTTAAAAATACATTGAGCACGGGTTTTGCATTGTCTCCGGTTTTGGTGGGAGAGTAGATGATGCTGCTCAAGAAATACAACACCGCCATCCTGAGCCTATCTCCACTATCATCCGGGCCCATCTCCTCAAGCTTATTCTTCACATCCTCTCTTAAAACCTTCTTTTTGTCAGGAAAATACTTTCGCTTCAAGTAAGAGTTGCCTCTTTTATTCCAATAGAGAGGGTAGTTGCTGCAATTGAGTCCTGAGATCATAGCATGCTCTCGTAACCCATATCAAATGGGAACGCCATTCACCACAAACCAAGCCTCCTTCTCCCTTTCGATCCTAGCAGTACGCAGCAACAACATCCACAATGGTTGAACCATATGATTGCTCTTCGGCATGTGAAGAATGTGGCAGAACTGCGGATGCTGCTCAAACCACTCTCTTTCCGTCGGAATCAGATCCACTTTCTCAAACGTCTCCATAACTTCTTGGACGAAACACCGTGTTGGTAGTTTAATGGTCTTGCTATACTGATCAGGCTTCAAGTACATGTCCGGTCGCATAGCAATCGTCTCTTCAAAGGCACCCTGCAACATACATACAATATAAATACCAAACTCATAATATTACAACATAATACTAGTTTTACCAAGTTTTCTTAGTTTTACCAACATGCTAGTATTACCTAATTATCCTAGTTTTACAATTTCTGACAATTGAGAATTGAGAATTGTGATCAAAATGCAAAAGAGTTGGAGAAGGAGATAATTAACTTACAAGATTCCGGCCATCGGAGGAGTTACCCGCCTCTGTCGTTTCTGCTTCAACAATCGGAGGAGGAGGAGTCGCCTCTCGAGGAGGAGGAGGAGGAGTCGCCTCTCGAAGAGGAGGAGGAGGAGGAGTCGCCTCTCCACTCGGAATCTCCTCCGTCGTTCGAGACGTCGTTCCCGATTTTGTTGTCTTACGCTTCTTCGCCGCCGGCTTCTGGCTCGGGTTCGGGTTCTCTGCCGGCATTTTTTGCTTCTTCACCGCCGGCTTCTGACTGCTCGGGTTCTCCTCACGCATTTTTCTCGTCTTTGGCATCGTTTTTCATCGTCGATTCTCCCTCTTTCTACCGCCGTACTAGGGTTTTTTCTCTGGTGGAGATGACGGTTGCGACTCCTCGACGATTCAGTGGTATGAGAGAGAGAAATATATGTTTTTGAAATATTTGAAAGAATTTCAAAATATTTGAGGGATTTTCGGGGAGATTCGGGTCAAAACCGGACTCAAATCCGATCCATCGAAGAATCCGATTTTTCTTGGGTTAGAACTAGGCACAAATGGTAATTTCATTAGAACTGATCTGGTTTTCAATAATTTCTCTTTTTTTCTATTTATCTTATTTTTTGTAAAACCTTTTAAATTAAAAGAGGAGTATTACAGCTCAATAAACAAGCGAGAGGAGCATTATAGACGATTTCTCTTATTGAAGTCGATGACAGAAAAAAAAAAAAAAAAAAAAAGACACCAAAACTCAACAACATAAAATCAAAGAAGAAACAACCCAAACAAGATAGAACCCGTAGAGAACTATCAATACCATAACGAGACTAGGGTGCAAGATCGAGATCTCACACATCTGAATCGCCGGAGAAACAGTCAAAACCAGATCTCGCCTCAAGAGACAGAGGGCTAAACTCCTCCACTAAAGTGACGACTATCCAACACGCTGAAAAACACTTGCAAACAACAACATTAACAACAAAGGAAACAGCAGCGAGAATATATCCTCACGGAGGCGGCGCCAAAGCACCAACTACCGGAAAAAAGCCCCGCGCAACGAAGATTCTCTTTTTTCTCTCTCTCTCGCACTCAGCGGCGATTTCAAAACCGAAACTGTTTAGATATAGCAAGAGTGCGCATGATCTGAAGAGTCTAAGAGTCTATTATTCATCTTTCTTTCCTTGGTTTAATTTTATGTTATAGTTTAGTTGACGTGTAGCTAGATACAGACGTTTCATTCCAGCCCACATGGATAAAAGTAGGACTCGTCTTTATCACATTCCCTTTCTTTCTTTTTTATCAAACCCGTTATAATTGTACAAATTTTTAAAGATAATCCATAATTTGCACATACGTAAGATTATACAATTCGTATATCAAGACAACTTTTTGGGTTATCAAGCACAGAGTAGCCAAAAAAATCACATTATTTGACTGCTTAAATGGTAAAGTACTTTTAGTCTAGTGACAATTCTGGAAATAAGATCCCTACAAGGCTTGGTTATATACTTAAATCTTATTCTCATTGTGTAGTGAGTATAAGTTGATATAAAAAAGCCAAACAGCCATCTGTTTCCTCACAGGGAAAGTGAGTATACGTCATGGAGCCAATCTATGAATTATCCACCCAGAATTCCCATTTGCATCTTGAAGAGAATACTGCAGCCTGCAAATCAAAGACAATTGTTCCACAATCATTAGCAAATATTGGCTACGGCTACTTCTCTGTGTTCTAAGCCTAATTAAGTGATCAGTTCATGAAACATCCTTAGACTTAGACAAACATCTGATTTAGGAATAAAGACTAAGAGGCACCTGTCATGCAAACGAGATGGCTGTCCCTGCCAAAACTCGAAAAGATTTGGTTTAAGTCTGAATCCTCCCCAGTTTTTCGGCTTTGGTATGACACTTCTGCAAGAGAGATAACAAAATCATGAGCTCTTAGTAAGTCTTAGTGCATCAATCAAGAACATCAAATAAAAAAGAATGTTCTTTGAAGAGTTTTTAAAAAGATTTTTAGAACTCACCCATCTGAATATTTTATAGTAAGTTCTTCATACTCATCATACAGAACATGCCTGCCAGGTACTACAGAGCTCTGATAGAAACCAAAATTTCAAAACATGAGGGTCCAAAGAAAAATTCCTAATATCATATGCAAATATTTTCACAACTTCAAGAATTCATAAGGCCACCTGCTTGCTAACAATGGCGCCGATCTGACTTCCTCTAGGACGACTATGATAGTAATTCTCTGATTCTGCCTCGGAGATTCTCTCCACCGGTCCTTCAATTCGTACCTGTATGATACAATGAGAACGTATTCAGTTACTAATTCTTGTGTGTCAATAGTAGTGGAAGAATCTGGCTTTGCAGAAAAGGTCAGCTAGAAAAAAAAGGTTAAGCAAGATGAAAACACATACCTGCCGATTCAAACTTTCCCAGTAAAAAAGAAGTGCTGCACAAGGATTTTCTGATAAATCAGAACCCTTTTTACTTTCGTAGTTAGTGAACCTGCATTTTACGATTTCAGCAAGTAACTTAAGGTTGGACACAAAGATCTTCATACCCAAATTCATAGAAGAAAAGGATGAGGATGTACTAACCAGACAAATCCATTCTCATCAAATCCTTTAAGTAAGACCATTCTTGATGATCTGCAGTAAGAATCAGGCTCATTAGAAAGAAAGTAAACAGGCAAATCTTGTGTCCAATGCAAGTTTGTGCATGTTCAATCTATTGATACAGCTTAAGATGTACTCAAAGCATTAATCACCCATGATTGAGATTCCGGCATGCAGAGACACCAACATATATACTTGCAACTACTTTCAAAAGAGTGGAACAAGAAAAAGAAAAAAACATGTACGAAGTTGCATATCATGCAGCAAATTGGAAACCTGAGACGCACTGTTTTGTATCACATGCAGTATATCAGATAACACAAAAAAAAATCATAATTGGATGCATCTCACCCTATTGCAGAAAGCTATATAAAGTTACACAATGCTAGATAACCCTGACATACATAGAAATCTTTTGGAACATGATTTATCAACATATTTTTTACATGGAGTGAAATCTCTTAAAACATCAAAGCGCTCTTACGGTTTTCTGTCCTTGTTCGTCGTAGATAAAGCCATAGCATTTGTTTCTCTTAATCCAGAAGCAACTGCCTCATCAAACCATTTACGGAACTGCAAAAAAAAAGAATAAACTGTTTTAGTAAAAAAGGATGCCTAATCTCTAATACAAAGGCGGACAATACAGATAAGCATCCACAAATAATTGTAGAAGGCGGACAATACAGATAAGCATCCACAAATAATTGAATTCATATACCTGTAAAGTAGGATCAGTTTCAACCTGGTCCTCAAGTAATTCTGGAGAGACATAGTTCACTCTCATAGCAGATATGTCAACTTTTGGAGGTTTACCAATTCTAACACACATCGATGCCCCAGGGTAACTAGGAAGCTCGAGCTTATACTTTTCTGCAACTTGAGGTGGTACAAATCTGCCACCTAAAAAGTGATGAGGGCCACAAAATCTCTTGGCACATAATTTTGGGGCAGTCAAAGATACCTAACAAGTGTTAAAAAGATTCAATTTATACAGCAGTTCTATGTATGATAGTAGCAACTGATGCAAAGGAAAAAGAATTGGTTACGCATTTCGTCTAAGGCATACCAACATGTCAGGCTTAATTCCTCCACCTTCATGGTCTCCTTCTTCAACGTGCCAACCAGAGGGAATATCCACAGAGACAATGACAGGGCGTTTTGGGACAATGTGCTCATTGTTTTGCAAGGACATTAACCTCCTGATCAAGTCATCAAACGGAGGCCTTGGAGCACCTACATGTGCAAAACATTGACATCAAAAAGCAACTGAAACTTGACGCAAATGAAAATAGGTGCAAAAACTGAACTGAACTATTCAAGACTTTGACTCCACACAACTTACTGTACAGATACATTTATAATTTACACTTTTCATGGTTTGGAGAATTCTAATGATGTGGGAAGGATAATAGTTACCATGAAATGAAAACCCGAAAATTGCATCTACGATAACATCAAAGTTATTTGACAAGTCCTCCGGCAGATCATCAACAGAAACAAAAGGGACTGAAAGTGACCCCAACTGCAGAAACAGACAATTTCTGCAGGCAGTAAGGATACATAAAAAGCTAACAAAATTCTTAAAACCTAGTGCTTACAAACCTGAGTGACCAGTCCAGTATAAAGTGATTTGGCAGTACGTTTCGGATAACAGATAGACGGTTTATATCCAAAGTGGTGAAGATGCCTCGCCGCCACAAGACCATCACCACCATTGTTTCCAGGACCACAGATTGTTAGAACACGGCTATATTCACTCGGTTTATAAACCTGGAAAATATCATAGACTTCACAACCAATGTACACAGCAAGCAAAAAGATTTGTAATGGTTACATCCACTTGTGAGACTTATCTAGGCTAAAGAAAGCTTTAGAGGTTTATCGGTTTCGAAGAAAAAAGCTTTGAGCTTTGTTATACGATTTTACATTTTAGAGTTCCGTTTTGGTTGGTTCGATTTAGCAATAAAGAAATCTCTTTTGGGGGTATAGTAGACTTCACAACCAATGTACATAGCAAGAACAAAATATTTAAAGCTAAAAATCAACTGTGTTACTCATGTTTGTGTTCCATTTTCCTAATTTCAGTATAGTTCTTCTCCTAGTTGAGTTTTGTTCTGGCTTCTAATATACAGGTATAAATTCTCCACTCATTGAGGCTTAGGGAAAACTTTAGATGTTTATCGGTTTCAAAGGTAAAAGATTTGAGCTTTGTTTTCACATTTGGAGATCCGTTTTGATTGGTTTGGTTCTGCAATAAAGAAAGCTTTTTGGGTTTAGGGTTTAAGCTTTCGTATACGGTATAGTACTAACAATCTTCCTCAAACTCGCGAAACAAAACAAAATTGCGATAAGTTAAAAGGTAAAAGCTTTGAGCTTTATTAAATGGTTTGATTCTGCAATAAAAACGCTTTTTTCTTTTGGGTTTATGCTTCATTCTGTTCTCTAACTCTAACAAAAGCTTTGAACTTTTTAATACTAACAATCTTCCGAGAAAGAGAACATTATGAGAATGAATTGGCTCGAGCAGTGTCTAAATTCAACGGTTGCAATCAATTACCTCAGCAATTGAAGTTGCGACGCTAAGACCAGCCAATTCCTACAAGAAGATCAGAAAAAAACGATCAATGATCAGGCGAGAAAACAAAAAGCAGGGAAAAGAAACAAGAGAAAACAGAGACCATGAGCTGATCAACGGTGAAGCCGAGAGGACCCATCAAGGTCTCATCAATCTCGGCGGCTTCTCGATGCGTAAGATAAGACACTGCTCCTGAATCCTGCATCTTTGGTATGGATTTGGTAGAGAAACCCCGCAGGCGTAGACGAGAGCTGTGGCTTGGAGTGATGAATCGCTGGTTGGGTAAAGGAAGAAGAGAGAAGAGGGAGAATTGTCGTGGCGAGAAAAAGAGTTTGGGAGAAGTTGGGAGTGGTGGTGATTGGAGGAAGTAGGAGAATGTCATTGTTGTGACTCTACGCATCACAGACCTCATTTAGCCCCAACAAAACAATCATTCTGCCTCCACTTAGTTCGGTTATCCATTATCAAAATTGGGTCGATTGCTAGCTAACCTCTCAGTTTTGCAAATTAGTTGGAGTCTCAAATATTAAGTTATAAATAATCTCCATAAACAATGTAATAAAGTGCTATTAGTTTTGTAAATTTTGTATATATTTTTAATATAATAAAATTATTTTTATGGTATAAATGAATATATATTTTTTATTGCTTTAAGTTATGTATTTATATGTTTTAAATCTGAATAAGTATTGTATATTCTAATTTTTTTTTTCAAAATTATAATTTATTATCAAATTTGTTTAACGGAGGAATTACAAAATATCATTCAAAACTTGAGTTAAAATGCAAAACTAGACCCCCTATTATATATTTGACAAAAATAACTTTTCGGATAGACTTCTCGGATAGACTTCTCAAATAAACTTTTCAGAGAAGTCTACTCTCTAATAATTTTTTTTACAATTAATTAAAAAATCATTAAAAATAATTTGATATAAACTTTGATACATAACAAAAACTTATATTGTTTACACCTATTAAAAATAAAATTTGATACAAAATAATCAATTTAAATCATCATAGATAAATTAGGTTAAAAATCAATAGTAGGTAGACTTCTCCAGTAGACTTCTCGAGTATACTTCTCGAGTTCTCGAGTAGACTTATTGGAGAAGTCTACTCTCTAATAATTTGTTTACAATTAATTTAAAAAATCATAAAAATAATTTGATAAAAACTTAGATACATAACAAAAACATATACATTTTCCATCTATTAAAAATAAAATTTGATACAAAAATTAATTTAAATCAACATAGACAATTTTGGTTACAAACCAATAGTAGGTAGACTTCTTGAGTATACTCTCTAATAATTTCTTTACCATTAATTGAAAAATCATACAAAATAATTTGGTAAAACAAATATATATACGACTAAAATATAGACAATTCGCATCTATATAAATAAAATTTCATGAAAATGAATCAATTTATAAGTTTCATGAGTATACAATCCAAAAGGGTTAGGGTTGAGGTTTACGGTTTATGGTATAAGAGTGTAATTCTTAGGGTTTGCACAAATTCTATATGAGTCATAGTTTATGGTTCAGTTAATGAATCGGAGTTCATATATTTATTATTTTAACTATGAGTTGTCAATATGGTAAGTAAATTAATGTTTTCATAAAAGTTTTAATCAAAAAATTGATTTAGGGTTTAGGGTTAAGTGGACTTCTCGAGTAGACTTCTCGAACCGAAGTAAACTTCTCGAGTAGACTTCTCGGACCGAATTAGACTTCAAAAGTAGACTTCTTTGACCGGTTATGCCCCAGTAAAATAAAAACAATCCGAGTGAACCGAATACAAAGGTTTTATCTCTTTCCCAATCACCCCTGTATTTAAATCAGTTGTAGTATAGAGGTTTTATGTCAATCCATTGGGAGTTGTTGAATACAAAAGAGTTGCAAGCAGAAATCCTTAAGTCAAGCAAGCAAAGAGGGTTTTTGTTGCCTAAGCAACTGAACTAACAACCTAAAGTGATCAATAGCAAAAAAAGAACTAAAAAAGAGACAGTTTAACAATGATCAAAGAAGCAAAACAGAGTAAATAACAGAGCAAATAGCAAATTCGAAATTCAATCAAAGAGAAAGCAAGTTCCTAGATGTGGTTATTGATTTTAAGGAAGTCAGAGACTAACTAAGGTTGTTTCAAACAGCATTGATCAAGCAAACAAGCTAGCAATGGTGGTTCCTAGACATAGAGTTCACAAATAAGCAAGCTAAGTTCAATCTCTTGATAAATAGCCATTTACTAAACACCTTAACAAGAACTAACTCTCATTAATGCTAAAACATTCAGCAAGCATTAATAATCAACTCTATTCATGTCAAAATGCTCCTCAAAGAGTCAATCTCTTGAGTCAAGGCCAGCAAATTCTCTATCAAACAAGATCAGCATTTCATCAAACACTTGGTGGGCATAAGAGAAAGCTCAAATCCTAGATAAGTGTGATCAAGACAAATCTAGCTTAAAAACAGATCAATAGAGAGGAACCCATGTTATTAAGCACTTAACAAACCTTAATCAATCTCTAAATCCCCTTAATCTACCACATCTAAGAACAGTAAGCAAACTATTCACTAATACTCATGTTTAACACCAAATCACAAGAGGAAAAGATGTTAATCATGATTAGAAGAGATATTAAGGAAAGATTAATGGCAAATACAAACTTATATTAAATAAAGCAAGAAATTTTTCTTACAAACTCAGAAAAATAACTCAAGAACAGTTATATGACATGACTGCTCGAAAATCCTCTACATAAATGAAAGAAGCCCTAAAGTAATGGCACAAGTGTAATAAAAAGCATCTCCGGACTGGGTTCCTATTGGTCAGATCGATAGGGATCATATCGGTCTAGAAGATGACCGATAGAGTGACCGAAATCCATACGGTGTACTTCTATCGGTCACTTCTCTGACCGATAGGCTTGATCGATAGGTCTTCTGTCGGTCATTCCTTGACCGATAGGCCTTGTGTCTTGATCGATAGGCTCCATAGAGATCGTCTGCCTTGGTTCCTTTTGCTCCTCTTGGCTCAGCTAGCTTCATGGATCATCCCCAAAGCTCCTCCAATGCTCCTCATAACTCCATAAGTACCTAAAAACATCCATGATGCAAAGAAAATGCAAACTACATCCTAAATGCAACCTAAGTCTAAAAAGAGAAGAAACAGGGACAAAAGATAAGGAAAACATGCAAAAGAGAACCAAAACATGCACTAAATGCAAGCCTAAATGGTGTAAATACAAGAGATATCAACACCCCCACACTTGCCTTTTGCTTGTCCTCAAGCAAATAACAACAAATGAGAGAGTGGGGTTTGAAGGTGGGCATTCAAATCCAAAAATGCAAAGGTAAAGAGATGGTATCAATGCTTAAGTGCCTAGTTGTGGGATGCAAACATAATCAGCTATACTTTAAAGAACTTAGCCATGCTCATCATGTTTCAAAATGATCTCAAATCTCAACTTAGGCAAATGCTCAAATCAATCAACTCTTTAACATTCAATTAAGCTCAAAACCATGAATCATGCTTACGCAAATCAAGTGAAGACATTTGGTTCAAAAGGTAAGGTTATGAGATAAAAATGATCTCATTAAAGCAATGGGTTTTCAACATAAGGGATCACTCAATGAAATGATTCTATCTTAGGCAAAATGCTAAAGGTAAAAGCACACTTATGCATGCAATTCAAAGCTCCCTTCTACCCAAAGATGAATTCTAAACACTTCTAAACCCCAAGGTGAACCCCTAAGTCTACTCTTTTCCTAAACTCTACCCTTTACCCTTCTTCATGGCTGGGGAAACTTCTTCTTTTTGCTTGTGTGGTTGCTTTTTTTTTGGTTGGGACTTGCTCTTCTTTGTTGCATTGGCACCTTCTTCACCTTTGGTGGATTGCTTTGGGTCTGATTTCTTCTTTGGATTGACCCTTCAAAACCTTTATGTTGCTGGCGCCATTCTTTTTAAACACTTAGAGCTTTTACTTCCCTTTACTAAACCACAATGCAAAACTGTTTCCCCTTTTCTACTATTTCAAACTTTTTCTTTTTTCTTTTAAAGCATATATACATGAATTTCAAACCACTTAACACTACCCTTTTAACCCAAAAATCCTAACCTAGAATCAAGCTCAAGATGCAAGCTGATATCTACAAGAGAGCTCATTATTGCCAGCCTTATTCCTAACACTTTTTCCAAGACAAAATCTAAAATGATATGCAAAGGCCTCACTGCTCTCAAGATAGTGTTTAAGCTCAAAGGATGTTTTGGTTAATGGAGTAGATTAACTATCCCATAAGTATGAGGATCAGCTATTTGGATCAACAAGAGTGGTAAAAAGGAAAAAGATGATACAAATATGTATATGGTAGCCATGAATTCACTTTTCAATGCACAAGACATGATAATTAAAAGTCCAAATTGAGGTTCAAGTTGATAGAGTCGATTATCAGAGAACAAATACTTTCAGTATGAGATGAGATGATCAAAATTAGCAATCCAAATATGGTTCAGTCTTAACTTCTAGCTTTCTTATGATGCATCAAACAACTAATCACTTAAACACTGAAATCATCTCTAAACTCTAAGCACTTTACAAGGAAGATTCATCATTATGCCCTATGCAATTGCAATGCGACCTATATGTCAACACTAGACTCAATCCTAAAAGAATGAAATGCAACTACATGCTTTCTTTTTGGTTTTTGCAAAAGTATGCAAAAGTTTTCAAATTTTTTGATTTTTTTGTGATTTTCTATGCCTTAGATGAATGCATGATATGCATGTGACTCAAGATGAAAGAAAATGAAAAACTAAGAAAACAGAACACAAAGTCAAACCCCAAATCTTTCCCCACACTTAAATTACACAGTCCTTTGTGTAATGAAAGCAATGAGAGAGAGAAGTAACAAAATATAATACAAAATCGAAAAAGATGCAATGGTATAAACAATGAATAGGATGTGGTACCTTTTTTTAGTAGGTGGAGTGGTGGGAGGATCCAGATGTCTGTGTAAACTTGCTAGCTCTCCTCTTGTTCCTCCTCTCTTGGCTTTGTGAAGTTGTTGCTGCTGCTTGAGGTGGATGAACCCAGCTTGGCCATATCTGTTCAGCTTGAGAAGAATCACCTTGATTACACCATTGCCATGTTTGTTGAACTTTAGAAGGGTTGGGAGCTGGCGCTTCCCATGCTGATGGTGTATGGGTCCTTGGCTCATATGATGAAGCCCTTGGTTGTGCCCATGTTCCCCATTGATCACTTGGTTATGCATGAAAGGAATGTCTTCCATGGGGGTTCCAAACAGCTTGCTCTTCTTCAGTTGGATCAGTTTGTGGCATTGGCTCTTCATTGTGAGAAGTGTACTCATGAGTGTGGCTCTGATGGGAAGCTTCTCCTGTTGTAGCTTTGTTCTTTTTGAACTTCCCCTTCACCATCTTCACCAGATTCTTGATGGTTTTGTCTTGCCACTTACACCATTTCTGAAGGGTGT